CCCCCCCCCGCTTTTTTGCCACAGGCAAGAATCTTAGGGGAGGGCTTCAGCAGAATATTCATCAGCTTTCCAGGTGCTTTTTAAATATGCTGATGCATCAAAATGAGTGTATAGGGGAGTTTGGGATTATTCTTTGGTCTGTTTTACTGTTTTATTTTTTATCTTGGGTCTTTCTGGCTTTAATGGGGTTTTGTTATTTGTTCCCCAGCTTCATCTGTCGTTGGGTTTAGCTTACATAAGTGGCATTAATTGGGTCTCTGTTCTCTGTTTTCCCAGGCCAGGGTGATTTAAGCTATGTATTCTCCGGTTAGGGAGGAGAGTATAAGCCATTTGCTCTCCAGTGTCCTTGTTTGGGTAAGATAAGGTCTTGCAGTTCACAAGCTGGCAGCCAGCTGCCCAGACTGTGTGGCCTCGTTTCATTTTCTTGTCTCAGTTTCCCCCTTCCACTTGCCCAGGGATTTTCCTAGCTTCTTCCTACCCTGCCACAGCATGACAGCCCTTTAGCCCCCTAGGGCTCTGGTGTGCCCTCTGCAGGGAGCTTTGCTGAGTGCTGGAATTGTCTGAGCTGCTTTTTAAGAATCCCTCTGTCTCTGGCCTGGCTGGTGTGGCTCAATAGGCTGGGCGTAGTCCCCGCACCAGGAGGTTGCAGGCTTGATTCCAGGTCAAGGGCCCATGCTCAGGTTGGGGGCTTGATCCCCGGTGGGGGGCGTGCAGGAGGCAGCCAATCCTTGTTGCTCTCTCACATCGATGTTTCTCTGTCTCTCTGTCTCCCTTCCTCTCTCTCTAAAAGTCAATAAACTGTTCCTTCTAAAAAATGAGTAAAACAAAATGAATAAATAGAAATCCCTCTGTCCCCGAATAAAGCATGGAATCCGCAAGAGTGTGTACCTCCTGAGAGTACACAGTTGTAGCTTCTGCAGAGCAGACCTCTACACCCACTGTCCATCCCTCTATCTCAAAATCTGGGAAGTGATTGACTCCCGTAGGATTTTTTCTTCTGTGGAATGACCCAAAGCCCTGTCCCTGGGATTTGCCTCTTCCTGTTCCCCCAGTAAGGGTTCCTCCCTCATCTGGGAGCTTCCTTTTGAGGACAGGACTTGCCGGAATGACATCGGCGACTTTCCCAGGGGCATCTCCCTGTGCCCTGTTCCACCTCCACGCACAGAGGGCGCCCCAGAGTGGTTCCTCTATTAATTCTCTCCTGTGTCGCCCCACCCTCCTCTCCTGCAGAGCAACTACTCCAGTGACACAGAGAGCGAGGACAACTTCCTCATGATGCCCCCACGGGACCACCTGGGCCTCAGCGTCTTCTCCATGCTCTGCTGCTTCTGGCCTCTGGGTATTGCAGCCTTCTACCTGTCCCACGAGGTAAGGCCACACATAGCACACAAGCCAGTAAGGAGGAGAGCCAGAGAAGACAGTCAACTCCTGCCACCAGAGGCGTCTTTACTCTATGGTTGGAGAGCATGCCTGGGTAAGTCGGGGTGCCACAGGGAGGCCAGGGCCACCTCACCTCAGTGTCGTCCTGGGACTGCCCCCATGGCCTCCCCGAGGTAAGGTGGGCAGTCTTCAGGGAAAGGGCTGAAGACGGGAACAGGTGTCCACTGGGGAAACGCAGATATGTTGGGGAGCTTGGCTTTCAAGCAGGCACTTGGGCTCTGCCAGTGGCACGGACTTACAAAACCCAGGATGTTTTTTCTTGTCCTAGTCCAGCTGGGCCCAGGTCAGTAGGCAATTGCTTCATGCCTCAGTTTCTTGATCCACAAAATGATGCTAAAATAACCGACGGCATGGAGCTAGCCAGGTGTTAGGGAAGTGAGGTTAGAGAAGAGGTGCCCATGTGGTACCTGGAAGAGCAGCAGGTGCCCAACACGCTCTCCTGGGAACCCCAATCGTTGGCACACAGGCGGGGCCCTAGATGAAGAGATGCCTAGAAAAAGACAGAATCTTGACTACAACAGATTTTATCATTTGAAAAAAGTGTAGTAGTAGTAACAGTAGTAATAAAAGTGCTTGTAAAGTAGGTGACCTATGTTGATCCACTAAGTGCCGGTTCCACCTGCTTCTCAGGGTGTGGTCCTGACCAGCGGCATCAGCGTCCCCAGCACAGGTTGACATGTGCATTGTCTGGTCCCCACCACAGCTCTGCTCAGTCAGAGCCTCTGGGAGGGGGGTCGGGGAGTAACCGGCATCTGAATAAGCCGGTCCCGATGCTGCCTCAGTTCAAGCAGTGCTGTCGCCCACAATGGTCTCACTGCGAGCCTGTGATGGGGCACTGCCGTGACATCACTGTGTGGCCTCGTACCCGAGGCTCGGTGAGGTTGGATGGTGGCCTCAGGCCGCAGCTGGCTCGAGCCACCTCTGGGAAAGGCAGCTGGCTGGGATGAGCATGGAGGCCGGGGAGGAGGCCGCGTGTCGCGTTGGTCCGAGACACCCTCTCCTCCGACAGTGCTGACCGTGGATCCGGCTCGGCGCACGCGGGCCTCATAGGCTGCTCTCCGAAGGGGGGACCGCGTGCGGCCTTGGCAGGTATGGCCGGGAGCGGATGCTCTGAGCGATGCGGAGAATAGACATGAACCCGCCATTTGCCGAGCAACTTCTGTGAGTCAATTAACATGCACACTTATTTAATCTTTGCAATGAGTCTGAAAGGTGGGAAATGCTTCTCCCCATTTTATGCATGAAAACAGCTGCTTTTGAGGGATTAGATAACTTACAGAAATCAGAGAGGTAGTGAGTATGGGTACGTGATGCAAATATAAGTATTTCTACTCCTGAATATTAAATTTTCTGCAGTAAAACTTTGCCCTTTTTATCTGTTTGAAAACAAAATTAGAAGCACAGTTCTGGCTTCGAAATCCAGTCCCCCTCTCTGCGTGGAGGGTGTGCAGTGAGGAAGAGAAGCCCCTTCTAGACAGGCCTGTGATACTGGCCCTCAGCGCCTTTCTCCCACGTGGCAGCTGCCAGCTTGAGACAGAAGGGGGAGACCCACCCCCAGCGAGGCTGTGGGTCTGGAACTGGGCCCGGGGCAGGCCTGAGGGTTACACACCCTGCCTCTGCTGCAGATATCTCCTGCATCTGAGCATTTTATTTCATAAAATATTTCTTTCCTTTGCTAACTGCAGCATTATGACAATAATTAAATGAGAAAAGGGCATTAAGAATCAGATTATGAATTTTATGAACAGCATCAACAAAGGGAATTGAACAAATTAGGGGAGAAGGGATCTGCCATGGCACCGAAACTTAGGAGAACCAACATCCAACCTGGCCAGGAACTATGTCCTTGAAATCCATTCATCTGACATTTACGTAGCACTTGCCATTCATCAGACCTTGTTCTGAGTGCAGGGGTGCAGCACTGAGTGAAACATAACCCCGTCGTCACTGAGCTGACATCCTAGTGCCAAGAGGCAGGAAACCAACAGAAGTAAATTACAGAGTGATGGACTCATCACGATTAGGCACTCTACGGATGTGGGGTACACATTTTTAAAAAGGGTGGTCATGGAATGGCATTCTTTGAGGATAGCATTTCATAGTAAAACTATAGGCTGAGCCCAGAGGATCTCTTGAGGAGGAGCTTTTTGGGCGGACGGACAGCCAGTGCAAAGGCCCTGAGGTAGGAAGGCGCCTGGTGTGTTTGAGAGTGACGTAGGGGACCTCATGGCTGAAGCAGGTGCCCTTTGGGTGTGGACGTAGGAAGTGAGGCAAGAGAAATAAAAGACTGAGGGTTGTGGGTGCCAAGGGAGCAAGTTGTATTTTTCTATAATTTTGTCAGTTTCATCTAAATTATCAATTTTATCTATCTTTTCAAAGTATGAACTTGGGCCTTCCTTCTTTCTTTTTGGATATAAATAGAAGGATGCATGGGTAGGCAGACAGACAGCTAGGTAGACAGATGAATAGATATACCTACCTCCAAAACCACAATGCTGTCATTGTTTTATGTTGTCAGTATTTATTTGTATGTGTCCACACATTCCACTCTCTTTGTTCCCTTTTCCTTCCTAACCCTCTGACCTTCTAGCTGGCCTAATGTCCCTTTCTTCCAGAGAATGTCCTTTAGCATTTCCTTTAGTGTGGACCAGCTGGTGGCACATTTTCTCTGCTTTGTGTCACTTTCATTACACTCACCCTTGCAGGTGTTTTCACGAGGCCTAGCGCTCTGATGGACAGTTTCCTCTTCAGTTGTACTGAACCTTCTGATAAACCTGTTCACTGAGTTATAATATCTTTTTTTAAATTTTTTATAATGGATCAGTTCTAGAATTTCTCGGTTTCTCCTTTTTCTGATCGGCTGTAACATTTTTTTATAGTGTCCAATTGCCTGCCAAGATTTTCAGACTTTTTGGTGTGTTTTCTTAAATGTAGTAAACAGAGTTGTTCGGTGGGCTGTGCCTGCTGATTACAGCATCTGGGCCCCTGTGAGCCGGGGTGGTTTTGTTTTTGTTTTTCTCCTTGATCTCACTCGTGGTATATTTTCTTAGGGTTTTTTTATTTATTATTTTTTTTATTTTTATTGTATGCTGGTGATTATTTTTTTAAAGTATTCACCGGAGTATTTTGAGGATTGATGCCACCTTCCTTGAGATAGGCTATTTCTTTGCTTTTGTCAGGACACAGGGCACAAACAATTCAGTCACCTCGGTCTAAGCTCAGGTTTTGAGTTGATGCGAAGCCAGTCTGTAATGCATGAGAAGGGGTGTACTTTTGCTTCACTTTTTATCTTATGCTTTCGCTTTTTGGGGCTCCATTCTATGGCAGGGGCTGGTTTGCCAGGATCTCCCTCTTTGATTGGCCTGGAACCCCCCAAGTAACCAAAACCCCTCTCAGGCCTCGCTTATGCTCAGCAAACATGACCAGGGCAGAAGCGTCTCCCTGCGCCTGGCTCACCCCCAGGCCCCTGCTCTCCCTTGGTCTGGGCCCTAATAGTTCCCCGATTCTAAAGCATCTCTCGGTGCTTTAGAATTCTCTCATATTTCCCCAAGGGTTTTTAGTTGTCTGCTGCAGGAGGGTTTCTAGCAATATTACTGGGAGCAGAAACCTGCCTTTCTCTCTTTCCTTACTTGTTTGTACAGGGAATATTTTTTAAGTTGGAAAAGTGAAGGCTTGGTTGAGGAACTTGGATTATCTTTGCTTGAATTCCCACCCTTTCTGGTGCTAACAGAGATTCAAACTGACTCTTTGCGCGATCACAACAACTACAGTTCTTAGGCTGACAGACTATGTGAGGAAATGGGACACGGCTGATCAAACTCCGAGAAAGTGGCATCCTCTGTAGATCATACAAAGCACAGGGTCTGGTGCTTCGTAGCAACTCTCTAAGTCTGGTTGGCTTTGTGTGATGGATGCAGAGATCTGCACACCAATGTTCTGCTTCATCATTTCGTAAAGACGAAGCATGTGGCTCATAAATGTACTATCATCTAAATGTGTCCAGGCAGAGTTGGGAGGAGTTGGCCATGCATGAGATCTAATCAAGTCACCAAATACTCTGGGCTTGTGCCCTCTGCAGGGCTGTGGACAGCTAGCACTAACTCCACAGGGACCTCTAAGAGGCAGTGTGGACCTCACTCCTCCATGATGCTCCACCAATGAGTGGGTTGCTGAAACCGTGACCTTGAGCACAGCATGTGCTATCACCTGCAGAGAATGTATGTTATATTCCTCAATTCTATTTTTTTATCTCTTTTTAGACAGGGCACAATTTTTTAACTTGTCCAGATTATGTATAAAATAGTAAGGACACTTTGAAATACAACCGCAGAACATGTTTTCGTTGGTGTGTAACTTAATCCACCTGAGCTTTGCTTTGCAGCGATGTTCAGGCTCACACAAAACCAGAAAGCATGGTGAGCCCCGTGTACTCAGCTTGTAAGCTCGTAGGTGAGAGCTATGAGGCTGGTTGCCTCAAAAAAGAATTCAGAAATAAAGCAATGAGTTCTTGAATGACATGCCTGCAGGTTGCTTAGGGGACTTGGAAACAACAAGACCCACAGAGAGGTTTATTTTACAACTGGCTGGCCCTGCACTGGGCCATAGTAGAATGCAAGTGAATTTGTGAGTGGAAGTCAGCTGTTCCTGGGGCCTGTCACCTCTTCTGACCATGCCCTAGGGCTTTCTCATCCCCCATCCCAGAACAGCTCCCCCAATTCTGCCATTGCCTCCAGCATGCTGCTATGTTGCTACCTTCCAATGCCACCGGCCCCCATCCCAGGCTGATGTGGTCTCTGGTGGTTTTCTTAGTCACCAAGGAAGCTACAGGAGCTTCTGGGTTGTCCCAGAATGGTTTCCAGACATAGAAAGCACAAAGACAGATGGGCTGTGCTTTGTGGTCCTCCCAGAAATCCTTCTATATGGAGTGG